TGTTTGTCTTGTGCCACCTGTCCCCAGTTACTCATTAGTTCCAGTCTGTATATAAGTCTTTGTGTTTCCCCCATGTGGTGGTTGGTTCGTCATCGTCATTTCTGGTCTGGTCCTGTCCGTCATCTCGGGTCAGTCCTGTCCGTCAGCTCAATTCTGGTTCTGTCTGTTCATGTGTCCCGTCAGCTCTCGTCACGTTACCCCGTAAGTTTGTATCCTGCCCTGTTCTGTGTTTCCACTCCTGTTTTTGAGTGCTTGAGTTTTTGAACCCTGACAAAAACACAGTGGACCAACACCAGCAGATGACATGGCTCTCCAAATCATCACTGATTGTGGAAACTTCACACTGGACTTGGATTCTGTGCCTCTCCATTCTTCCTCCAGAATCTGGGAGCTTGATTTCCAAATGAGATGCAAAATTTATTTTCATCTGAAAAGAGGGCTTTGGACCACTGAGCAACAGTGCAGTTCTTTTTCTCCTTAGCCCAGGTAAGACGCTTCTGATGTTGTCTCTGGTTCAGGAGTGGCTTGACACGAGGAATGCGACAGTTGCAGCCCATGTCCTGGATACGTCTGTGCATGGTGGCTCTTGATGCAATGACTCCAGCCTCAGTCCACTCCTTGGGAATCTCCCCCAAATTCTTGAAGGCCCGCTTCACAATCCTCTCAAGGCTGCAGTTGTCCCTGTTGCCTGTGCACCTTTTTCTACCACACTTTTTCCTTCCACTCAACTTTCTATGAATATGCTTGGGTACAGCACTCTTTAGCAAAGACCTTTTGTTGCTTACCTTCCTTGTGGAAGGTGTCAATGACTGTCTTCTGGACAACTGTCAAGTCAGCAGTCTTCCCCAAGATTGTGTAGCCTACTGAGCCAGCCTTAGAGACCATTTCAAGGCTCAGGAAACCTTTGCAGTTGTTTGGAGTTAATTAGCTGATTAGAGTGGGACAGTGTTAGTCTACAATACTGAACTTTTTCACAATATTCAAATTTGTCTAACTCTGGCTGGCTGCCTGATCAGAGACATTAGTTACTGGGGAATCTCCCCTCTGGACTCCCCCCTCGGAGGCCTCCTCAGTCTCCTAAGTTTCCCCCTCCACTAGAGGAGCCTCCCGCTCACTCTGTGTAATGAATCTATATAATATGAGTTTCACTTTTTGAATTGAATTATCGAATTAAACAAACTTTTCCATGATATTCTAATTTATTGAGATGCACCTGTATGTCAAACACAATTCTTTATTGCCCCCATGAATTACAATGTGAAACCAAAACCAACCAGACAACAATGTAACAAAGACATAAAGCTTGGTTCTGACTTTCAGGTGTGAAAATGCTTTTACTCAGCCAATCTAGGATATTCCACCCTAACTGTTGGGCTGCTTTGGATGTAGGTTCAGGATCCTGCTGAAACATCAACTCCTGTGTTTTGATTTGGATAAATCTGAGCAGAGAATGCTTCCATGTAGCTCAACATTCACCCTTCTGTTTCTATCACCAGGGAATTCCTCTGAGGTTCTGGTCAGGAAGTTGTCTTTAGTTTTCTGCACTTACTGTACAGTTACAAAGAGGTTTTACTTCACTGTGCAAAGGGTTTTTGTCTCAATCACAAGACATTTTGTCCTCAGTTGATCAGCTTGTTTCACCATTTCACCAATTTTTTTTCAACAAACGCCCAACTGTTGATTTTTTTGATTTTTTGGTAAACCAACCCTTTTTGACATTCATTACCTCCTTGATCCTCAACTCACAGCTGCCCAAATAACATTTGCCAGCCAAGTTTACTGTTATCTATTTATTAGATTGTGNAAGATTGATTTCATGCAATAATTGTAGTTTTGGAATTTTGCACAGAGACCTGAAGCCTGAAAACATTTTGTTTACTAAAATAAACTTTTGATGAACAATCCTGTAATATGCTTCTTGATGCATGAATTTTGATAATGTCATTAAGCAATTTTGTGCATGTTGTTTCAATTTGTATATCAATGAGTATTTTCACTTTGTTAATTTTTTTATTTTTTTACAGATATCAACAACAAACTGTATATCACAAACTTTGGAACCAGCAGTAAACTGGATCTTTCATTAACAGCATTGGTTTCTAAAATGACTGGACTGTTTTCTTGGTCCAGTTATGAGGATGTTGGAGGCCCACAATGCAAGTACAAGAAGGAATCAGATATCCAAGTAAGCTGAGCTTTAAAATATTGACCTAAATATACATAATGATGGTATTTTCATTCATGAATTCTTCTAAATAATGTTTATCATGCAATGTTAAAACATTTCTGCATGTCAATATTCAGACCAACTTATAAGATTATTACTATTGATTCTGTACAGTTTGGCCTGTAGGCTGCTAATATTTAATTGCAAAGAGATGTCTTGGTCAACATTATTTATAATGAATCCATTATATTTTAGATAGCGGGGTGCTTGGCGCATTACATCCTTACTGATGGGCAACATCCCTATCAAACCACAACACCCTACTCCAATGATCCAATGGGGCTATCTCAAAATGTGAGAACAGGCAACTTCACTCTTCAGTGTGAAAAAAGACTGAGGAGCCAAAAAGGTATTATTACAAGAATGCTGAGTGGATCATTTGAAGAACTTCCTACCATTGAAGAATGCCTTCAGGCTGTCACATGTAAGTGCCAAGAATATTTGTAAAGCGCCAAACCATAATGTACATTATCTCAAGGCACTTTATATAGAAGGTCAAAACCTTAAAATGTTATTAATATAGAGAAACCCAACAGTTCCAACAATGAGCAGCACTTTGGCGACTGTGGAGGAAAAACTCCCTCATTAACAGAGAGAAACCTCCAGAAGAACCAGGCTCAATGTGGGCGGTCATCTGCCTCGACCGGTTGGGGTGAGCAAAGAAAAAGGGGAGGAGAGGGTGGATGGGTGGAAAAGAGGGGAGAGAAGAGAGAGAGAGAAAGTGGGGAGGGGGAGGAGGGGGAGTGAGAGAGGCGAGAGAGACCGGGAACACTTGTGCACCATCAGGAATCAGATCTGACTAGTAAAAATGTAAACAATAACAGTGTAAAGAAGTTATTGATTATTAATGAACAGTTACAATTCATATAATAATTAATTACTGAAGTATTATTGTTAATGATAATAATAATAGTAGTATTTGTAACAGACCCCTTATGTATTTACAGGTTCCACAAGTCAGTCTGATAAATAAGTCGGACTGCTTTATGGCAACATGGGATTTCCAGCATTTGTGCACCCTCGTTTGTGAGGTTAACAGTTTTCTAGATTAACCAAAAAAGGATAGTTACATTTGTATATTGTATCGGTGAATAGTGTTCTTTTAATTTAATTTTCACACACTTGGCGTTAACACACTGAAAATCTTCTACCAGAAGAAAGGGAACAGCCCCCAGATGTTGCCTCAATCAGAAGACATCAAAAAGCTCCAGAACCATTAAAAACACCTTGAACAGTTCAACAAAAAAGCTTGAATTAACCATCATGGACTGAGCTCTCACAAGTCACCCTGACACAACTGATTTTATTTAATTGGAGCCGTGAAGGAGAAGTTTCAAGGATGGAAGTCAAAACATACATGCAGAGAAACAAACACAACATACAGAATGAAATTCTGAAGAGCCTGTCAACATTTGAAAAAAAACAAAACAGTATGAGAACCTTAACAGAGTGGAAGTACGGGGAAAAAGAGGCCACAAAGTACCAATGACAAGAGTCGGTGGAACTTATTAATAAAACAAGAGAAGATGTTGGGATTTCCAAGAGCAATCCATACATTTTTGCCCGTCCATATTATGGATCCCTGGAGAACATTCGTGGATGTGATAGCTTAAAGTGATTTGCTGAAAGCTGAGGAAAATATAACTTCCCCAGAAAATATCACTTCCACAAAACTAAGAAAGCATGTTGATGAAAAACTGGTGTAGCCAAAACCTTATTAAGTTTAGAAATTTGTGTTCATGTCTTTTGTGACATTAAATCATCCTCTAGCTGACTAGTCCCTTCTATCTCAGACAATCTTGTGACTTCCAGTAGGCTTACATCCTATATTTTTCCATACCATGCTAAGTTGTTCTCTGGCAATATCCAAAATATTAAGTTCTGTGGTTGCTTTGCTTAGATATATGGATTGTTATTAAAGCCCACTTTTCAAAAGTTTCAAAATAACACTACAGATGAATTGTATTTAGATTCATATTTAGTTATTTTCTCTTCAGAATGATTAATTTTGCTTATTTCTTTTTTATGCGTCCATGTTGAAGTGTGAAGGTCCCTCAATGCTATCTCAGAGGGAACTTGTGTCATTGTGTACCAGCCAACAGTGGACCCCTTTCACTCCATACAATACAAGTGTGGACATTTTACTGTAATGCAGTTAACAATGCATTTCTTTAAATATAGATTTAGGACTAAAGTACTTTGTAAAATGTATGGAAATCACATGCTTGTAAGAACAGGTCAAGGTCAATTTTGGGGATTGAACAATTTTCAAGGTGTAGACCTTTTTATTGTTTATCAGACTATTATTTATTATATATATATTTTTTAGTTCAATTCCTAATAACATCCTAGTGTTTTTTTTCTTATGTACCTCCATTTTTAGATTCTAAAGACTTAGTCAACAGTGGACCCCTGTCATTCCATACAATACAAACAGTGTGGACCTTTTTCTTTAATGCAAATAAACAACTAAAATGCACTCCTATAACTGTAGACTAAGCACACAAGTTTAAAAAAAAAATTAATTGACATCTGCTACTTGTGAAGACTGGTCATGACTGAATAATTTGGATGGTCTAGTCTGATGTAAATTTTAGAACTTCATTTTATCCAGTATTTTTCTACTTTTCTTCCTTTTTAGACTCTAAAATACTCACTGCTCTCCAGCCTTCTATGTAGCTTTAATTTAAATACAGTGTTGAACTTCAAGCTTTAGAAATCCACCAGAGCTGAGCCTTTATATTTTGTTATATCTAGTCCAGTCATTCCCAAAGTGTGGTGGGCTGTGAAGCCACTGCAGGTGAGCCATGAGAGGTCATCGAACATGCATAAATATAACAGTTTCAGATTTGTAAGGGAATTTTTTAAAGTCATCACGGGTAATGAAACAAAGCCATCAGATTTAAATACCACGTTATTCTTATTTTATCTATTCTGTATAGCAGGTGTCATTGTATTTGCTGATTGTCACATTACCACCTGAACGCATCACTCATCATTAGCAGGGAATCGTAAGTGAGGGTAAACTTTGTTATGTGCTGGGAAGAGGCAAGCTGTTTATGACGAAGGGGAATCAGAAAATCAAACTGAATCATTCCAAACAAAAAAAGAGGACTCGCAGAAAGTACTCAAGTGAGTACTTGTCACTGGGATTTACGAGTGCTGGCTCAGAGGACAACCCAAAACCTGTGTGTGTTGTGCTCTGAGATGCTAGCTAACACAGAAATTAAATAATTATTTAATAATTATAATAATAATCATCATTATTATAATGATGATGATTATTATTATTGTAATAGCACAGCTTGGTTGACTTTTCTATTGTGACAAGTTCTTTAAAACTTGGAAAGTCTAATGTGTGCAAAGGCACCCACCCCAAATTTCTAAATGCCCCCCCCATTCTAAGCAGTCTAGATCCAGAAAGTCTATTATTTGCGTATATTCGACTTGAAATTTCAACCGTTTAAAGCCCCTCATGTGGTTTAGAATCATGAATCCTTCTTTGTTGTGTGTCTTCACTGCAAACCTCTAAGTCTAATGTAAATTTAGCCTGATAGTGTTGCTATGAAGCACCTCTGTAACTAGGGGTTGTTTAATATGTTATATGGTATGTTGAAGGTTTTGGTACTGTGACGGCCTTGCCTGACTGTTGAGAGTGGTGGACAGTTACTGTGTTTTCCTATGTGTCCTTGAAGGTAACAGATTAGCCCGGTGGTGACAGCCAGCCCATTCAAAGCACCAGGCCCAGCGCTCCCATAGGATAAAAGCCCAGCTGGCGTTGCGCTCGGGGCTCTCTCTCTCTCTCTCACTTGGACTCATCCCGGCCAGTGTTAACACTTTTGTCTTTTGTTTGACTTTTGTTGTGCTTTCACTCCACAGCACCTTACACCTCACTATGCTCACGCACTCACATCGACATTACTGACACTACTGACATACACACTCCTCCTTTATTGTTGATACTTGGTTGTTTAATTTATAATAAACACTTCCATCATCCACTGTGTCCATCTCCGTATTAGTCATGCCCTGTGAGCCAGGCCATGACAGTACCTCTGTATGAACAGTCTCTCTGAGTCTCTATTTTGTGTGTGTCATCACATAATGTGGTACAGAGGAGATTGTGTCCAGGCCCATATGTATACATTCTATCTATCTACTGGTGTCTGTTTACCCATAATGCTTTCTGTTTTTAGTTCTGTCTTTTCAAGAAAGTTTGGTGGTGGAGTATTCTCTCAACTTAAATAAATGCCTCGTAAGCAATATAGAAGTTATGTGAAGGACATTTTTGATTTTGAAGCTTAAGAATAAAAAATAACCAATTTTAAAGGGGGAATACTGATTGACAGGACTTAGGAGTTACTGACTGTTATGTTAAATTATGTTATATAATATATATTCTAGCATGAATCATAGTGACTCAAATTGTATTTAAAAAACATAAAACATTTTCAGTAGATTACTATTATGTTTCACTGAATTCACACACACACACACACACACTCCATTAAGCTATTATGCAATCAGGGTTTTGAACATTTTGTACAGAAAATGGTTACACAAAAAAAGACCAATATGGAACAGTACATCATTTCAAATGTGTTATTCTTTCATCTTGCAATATAATACTTCTTGACAGCAACATGGTCGAACATTTTTGAACAACAGTATTTTCCTTTATTACTTCAAACAGGCTATGGCTTACATCTTAGATATAGCCAAAGATGTTCTATCTACATTAGAAAAATGTAGTAAGCTTAATTGAATATGCCTGGCAACTACTGTGAGCCATTCTAATGAACACATGTGTCAGATTATTACAAAATGTGTGTGTTATTACATAATGAAGTGAAAATGTATTACACTTTTAAGTTTTATTACATAATGTGGTGCTACAGACCCAGAATAATAATGCAGAATAAAAAGGGAGTTGCACCTGCCCTGAAAACACTTTCAATGATAAAAACACAAAAAGGATATAAATCGTAAATGATAAAAAACAAAAAACTGGCATTTAACTTAAGTACTAAGCCCAGGTTGCCATATATATATATATATATATATAATTGTATATATTATACACAATTATTTGTTGAGCATCATGTAAAATCTGTCCCCTAAACTTATTTATTGGTCTGAAATATGAGATGCAAATCATCTTAACTTCGAACAACAAGAAAGAAAAGATGAATACAAGGAACAGTGGCGGCTGGCCAATAAAGGGCCCTAACCCTCCGTGGTGAAAAGTGTATTTTGATTTTTCTTTTTAAAGTAAACATGTTCAAAATAAAGAATAATTACTTATATTAAGCATGTGTGTGTTTAAGATATAAATACATTTAATATATAAAAGAGCAATAATTGTTTTCAGTGACCCCGTCTCTCATGGCATCTCCTCTGGGGCAATAGACACATCACCTAGTCAGTGCAGCAGCGCAGCCTATTGCTGACACAAATGTACAAATTGCAACATAAATCTATCCAATAAGTGTCCTCGAATCTGATGCCTGAAGGGCAACTAATATATCGCGAGTCGAGTCGGCAGGTGGTGGAGTAAGGACGTCTGGACGTTTTTTGCAATGATGGATGCGGATACACAAGAACAAGGAGCCCAGCTGCCCCCAAACTCTATCAGGTCTCTTCTCGGAAATCTGTTTGAGAGGAGTACTTTGCGGAGATCACCTTGCTTTTCAAGCAGATGAAACACCGGACATACCGATGGGTGCTTGTGCTGCTGTACATCGACATCCATAATAAAGTCCAGGAGCATTTTTGAGTTCATTCCTCCTCTGGATACAACCGCTGACACAATCACACTGCACTGTTTGAGAGGTTAACAGCTTCCTCCCCGAGGGACAAGAGAGAGTGGACTCAGCGCCCCGGCCTATGATGGGGCTGCTGTGATGAGGGGAGCCACAGGTGGAGAGCAGAGTAAGGTAAAAGATGTCTATGGAGGTGCACAATACATCCACTGCTCAGCGCATCAGAGAACCTCATCACGCAGCAAGCAACATCCCACATCCCAATGATAAGAACTTTTTTTTCAGACCTTGGTTGATTTGTTGCATTTGTCATTCAAGAGAGCCACTGTGCTTGATCAAGTGGTGGAATGCAGGCCTCCCGAAACTTCAACAACAAGGTGGAACTTCCACAGTCAAGCTGCAAACACTGTGTATGAGCACAAAGACTTTGATACTCACACTAAAGGGGATGAGGGCTTTGTGAGAAAGCTAGAAGATAAGGAGGTTTTCCTGGCATTGTTTCAAACGATCACGCCACAACTGGACATGCTGTTTAACCAGCTGCAGAAGAGGAACATCGACTCTGTCTACATCCCAGGAATCATCCAGAGGTTCACCAACAGCATGCAAAAGATCAGGTCAATTATGATTTATAATTGACTGAGAAAATACTTATGAGAAAGGTTTTTCAATCCGTAGTCAATAGCATGTCAACTTGTTTCAACATTTTAATGACAGTGAATAATAAGTCCTGTTAATCCTGATTATGTTTTGGATCAGGGGCTCCATTCCTTCTCTGCTTGTGAAATGCAGAGGATCTCAGGAGCAACAGCTTGCAAAGAAACCGAGGAGACTAGGACAAGAACAACAGCAGCAGCTGGTTATGAAGGTAAGCTTTATCATAGCTGTAACATAGTTGTGTTTACAAGACACTCAATTTGTGTTTTTACTTATTTGATTTGTTTTAATGTGTAAAGATATTATGTGTTTCACTGTCTGTCCTCGTGTAAAGATCTGTGGTGGAATGTAAATAAATACATTCACTCATTTACTTTGCTTAAGTACACATTTGAGATACCTGTACTTAATTTGAGTATTTTCACATTATGCAACTTTAAACTTCTCCTCCACTACATCCCAGAGATAAATATTGTACAGTTTACCCCACTACATTTGTCTGACAGCTACATTTGACAATCGACAGTGTTTCCTCCCCTTCCTGTCAAGTAAAAACCAGAATTTCCAGATGTGTTGATGTTGAATATTTTCGATCAACTGAAGGATGAAGTGTTCCTTGAAACATATCCTCCTTTCTTCAGGTAAATAAACTATGATAAGTAATTGTGACATGTTTAATTCACCATACAGCTACTGAGGAAGGCTGAAGTGTTTAAACATGGTTATGCCACATCCATGGTATTAAGCAGTAATCCTTGCATTAATATTTGTACTGCTCCTTTTTTATGTTCTATTTTCTATCATTCCTTAGGTATGTGATACCATTTCAGGTCATGCCGAGGAGCACTTCGCTTTCACTAACTACCTGATCATGGCCCCTCTGTTGCAAGGAGACTTGTTCCGCGATCACACCATACAATTCCTGGTTTCAGCACTGGAAACTACAAATCGAGGCCTACCCTATGTTGAACTCTGATCTATGAGAACAGTGAGTTCAAGGCTTGCAGTGGTGCACTGACTCTGTTCCAGTTCATGGAGAACAACCTTCAGAGCATGTTCAGTGAGAGTGTCGGTCTTCTCAAGTTTCTGATCATATGACAACAGTAGAATCAGAGAGGATCAAGACCTTCCGGAGGAACACCATGACACCATGATCTCCTGAATGCTCTGGCTATGATCTCCATAGAGAAAAGTCTTTCACGACATTCCTGACTTTAATCAATGGATCTTTGTGAGGTTTGACACTCAGAAGATAAAATAAGATCACTTGCTCACGCAGAGACACACAGGCAAACAGACAGAGATGGACAGGCACACACACATAAAGACATACAGAGACACCCCCCCACACACAGATAGATAGATAGATAGACACAGAAACAGACAAACACACACAGACACACACACAGACAAACACACACAGACAGACACACAAAGTCCCCCTAATTGTCTTTCTCTTTGTATATAGTTGAACTTCATAACAGTCAACAGAATTTCCAACCAAGGCTAAGTGTTAAAATAAAACAGAACTGTTCACATGTTAAGTTTAAAATGCAAACTGACTGTGTTTGTCCAATAAGCTATTGTATGTTTTTGTGCAAGCAGACTTCATATTTTTAATATTGGCATTCAATAATAAACGATCATTTCACAGAGCACTCCTATCCGGCTGTTAATGTTAACCTGAATCATGAACTTGCTGAATTTGGCTCAGCCTCACCTAGAATATTTTTCACCAGCCACCACTGACAACAAAGAAACAAATGTACTGACAATTACAAAACAACCAACAATAGCAAGTTTATTGTCTTTTCAGTCTGTATTCAGTCCCATTTGCCATTTAGAATGGAACAATGAGCCTGTAAAACAGAATCAGAAACCAAAATCACCTTAAATTTAGATTTTTTAACTTTAAATCAGGATGTGGGTTGGCCTTAATCTATATTACATCTCTGTTAGCTGCTTTTGAAAGGGGTAAACTGTAGGTTTCTGGCCTCGGGCTCTACAAGCAAAGCTCTGGTTTGAAGACACATTTGAATGTCTATTAGTCAGACTCTCAGGCAACCCAGTGCCTGAGGACATAGGAGAGGCAACATTTAGATTGTCTTTCAGGCACATTATTGTTACTGAGCTGGGGCTGACCTCAAAACAACCTATTTATGGTAACTATGAGTTCTGTTGTCCTTTAGTGTCTGTTAAATGGTAAATGGTTTGTATTTATATAGCGTTCTACAGTACAGTTTGCCATTCACCCATTCACACACACACATACAGTGCATCTATTAGCAGCACTTTTGTGTTCTATGAGGGGCAATTTGGGGTTCAGCATCTTGTCCAAGGAC